TCTACTGCATGTGTGGAAGACAGTATTAAAAATGATATTTATTTAAGCTGTGTTCCTACTTGGGAGTCAGTGGTGCCCTTACCCTGACTGCCTCTAATTAGGGACAAGTCTGGTTCTTTTGCGAGTTATTATATGTCAGGGTAAGGTCAACAGCAGCAAGGAATTTTCAGGTACATTATTGTATCTACTTATATACCTGTCATCTCCCTGATTAGAATAGAAACCCTTTGAGGGCAAGGACTGTTTCTGGTTTTTCTTTACATCCTTGCACTTAGCAGAGTGCCTGCTCATTTTAAGTGTCTGTTGATTCGTTGATTTTAGACAAAGCCAGGGCTAGGAATTAAGGACACAAACATGGAATCTAGGTAAAAATAATTCAATTTGGTTAAATTCAGTTAACATTTATTAAGTGCCTGCCAGGTGTAAAGCATTGTGGTAGGGGAGAGAGAGGGAGAGAGAGAGAGAGAGAGGTGGAGCTGTGGTTTCTTTGATGTATTGAATTCCCTCCACCAATGCAAATCAATTCCTCTATTAATTTCTATTAAAATAGAACCTCCTTGAGAGAAGGGATCATGTTTTTGCTTCTCTTTCCTTCCTCAGCGCTTAATAAATGCTTGTTGGCTGACAATGAAAATCTGTGAGAATAGCTGGGACATTAAAAGATTAAGAGACATGTTCTTGGTCATAAAAGCAGTATGAGTCAGAGGCAAGATTTGAACTCACTTCTCTCAGACTTCCAGGTCAATCCTTCACCCTTTATACCACGCTCCTTTTTTCACGTGCTAGGGATACAGAGATTAAAGACTACAGTCCCTTCCCATCCTTCATGGGGTTTACATTGTGCTAGGAGAATACAAATATAAGAAGACAAGTAAATTGAGGCAGGAGAGAACATTAAGGACAATTCCCTCTAGGAGGGAGGTTGGGCCTGAAGAAAACTGAGAGATTGTTGAGGAGTAGATGTGAGGAAGGAATTCAATCTAGTTTAAGGGGTGGGCACAGCCAATGCAAAGGTGTGGTGATAGGGCATGAATTGAATTAAGGTGGTCAGATAAAGCACTGGGGACTTGGTACGTCTTTAAAGCCAATGAGACAATTTCAGAGTCTGTTAACTTGAGCCAGCAATATTATTAATTATACTGGCACCACCTGCATCTAGAGCAGTCACTGGCTTGCTTCTATCCTCTTCTGTCATGCTAGGATCACCATCTTAATTTATTAAGCACCTACTGTGTACCAAATGCTATACTAAGGTTTCAACTACAAAGACAAAAATAAAACGGTTTCTGCCCTCAAGAGTTTAATGTGCTCTTGGATCATAACACTTTGTTTTATTCTACTTACCACGTATGAGGAAACACGCAAGACAAGTTGTTTAGTGTGCTCTTTTCATGGTTCTCTGCCCCTCCCTCACTTTCTGGAACTATAATTAAATCAATACTGCTACGGTTACTGGAAAAGATATATTGATCTACTTTCACCTGGTTCCATTCACCTTTGTTGTTGTTCAGTTGTGTTCAACTCTTCTGGTCCCCATTTTTGGTGAGTTTTCTTGGTAAAGAATAGTTTGCCATCTCCTTCTCTACCTCATTTTACAGAAGAGGAAACTGAGGCAAACAGGGTTAAGTGATGTCCCAGGGTCATATAGCTAATAAGTATCTGAAGCTAGATTTGAATTCAGGTCTTCCTGTTGGGGATGCCTGAAATTCTACCCACTTTACTATCTAGTGGCTTCTATTTATATTCCATTCAGTCTCATCACAAAACCCATCCCTGGTTACCCCTCCCCTTTATGTGTTGTTTCCCCTCATTAGAATGCAAACTCCTTGTGGGGAGTGGCTGTCTTTTGTATCACCAACACTTGGCATAGTGCTTAGTACGTAATAAACATTAATAAATGCTCCTCCCATCATTGAAGATGATGACCCAGCATGGTGAGATGGAGTGTAGATCATGGCACATGAGTATCAAAGAAACTGGATAGATTTAACTTAGAGCAGGGAAGACTTAGGAGGGACGCCATTGGTGTCTTCAAATTTGTGGAACATTTTGTGCTGCTTAGCCCCAAAAGAGCAAAGTGGGGGGGGGTAAAGAGATGTGGGTTTTGGACACATGTAAGGAAATACTTCCTAAGAAATTAGAGCTACCCCAAACTAGAATGGACTGCCATTGGAGGTCTTGGGTTCCCCCTCATTGAAGTACTCAAGAGGAAACTGAAAGACTGCTCTTTGGATGGTGTTAAGATTTCTGTTCAGATAGGACTGGACTAACTGACTCCTGGGATCCTTTCCAATTCTGAGATCCTGTAAAATTGTAGCTGACAGCAGAAACCTTGGGAATCACCTAGCCCAGAGGTTTTTAAGGTTTTTTTTTTATTGTAATTGTGTGTGTGTGTGTGTGTGTGTGTGTGTGTGTGTGTGTGTGTGTGATGGACCTCTTTGGTGGTCTCAGGAAGCCTACAGACCCCTTCTCAGAATATTTTAACTGCAAAAAACTCCGAAACAAAACCTAAGATTACAAAGGAAACCATTCATATTGAAAGACAATTATCTATCTACTTATCTGTCCATAATGGAAAAAAAAAAAACAAATCAAAACAGATCCCAGGTTTAGAAGCCCTGATATTCATTCCTTCTTTCCCCCACCCTATTTTGAGGCGAGGTCACAGAGGTAAGGTCCATGTAGTGACCAGGATACAAACCTATGCAATCTGGTCCAAAGTCAGTACTCAAGATATTGCACCAGGCTGCCCCCTGCTGGCTGGGGAAAGTTCTGGGGCCTCTGGTAAGATGGAAAGTATTAGAGGTGTTCTGGTTTTTAGAACGCTTTTACACTAACTTTAATGGCAATACAGTTGCAACTTGATGAACTGGTATGATCTTCTCGATAATATGGAAACAGAAAAGTTTTCATTTCCATATTATATCTTCTAATTATATCTGAGCAATAATAGAGCAATTTGATTGTCTCTTGGAACCCCTTCTTAATGGCAAAATTGCATTGGAGGGCCATTTTCAGTGATTTTAATTGACTTAATTTTTGCTGTTAAGCACTGAAGTGGAGAGTTTGTACTGACAGAAGCCATCAAGGAGCACAAGGCAGATGGAATGAAGGGGTGGGTTTAGAAACAAATGAATGAATAACATCTGTCCCACAGGCGTAGTACCTTAAAACTCTTTGCCAGTCTGGATTGCTGACTGACTTTCGGTCTGGCTTCCTCTCTTCCCTCAACCCTCAAGAAGATTCTATTTTAATAGACAAAAGATGAATGCAAAAACAAAGGGGGGGTGATTTTCCAACCATTCCTCCTCTCCCAAGGGGATCTTATAAACTAGTTTCCTAACATATCTCTTCAGGTTATTAATGTGTAGGGGCCCAAATGGGGAGGCTTATTAAGAAAGAAGGGAAATAGAAGTAGGTAATGAAAAGCAGGAAAGGCAAATGACATGGCAAAATGGAAGAGCATTCAAAATAGAATCAGAGAAACTGGCTCAAATCTCAGTTTTGTAATTTCCCAGCTTTATGACATCAGGCCACTTGAATACTTGGGGCCTCAGTTTCTTCAGCTGTAAAATGGATTGACTAACATCTAAAGCCCCTTCTAGCTCTATAGTCTGTGATCTTACGAATGAAAAAAAAAACACAGTAAATTAGTAGGATCCTTAGAATTTCAGGAAGAAGTCCCAGATTTGCAATTAGGAGACTTAGGTCCAAATCTCAGGTTGGCATCTTATCTAGTGACCTTTGAAAAGTCAGATCTCGGGGCTTTGGGTCTGTTATATGTAGAATGAATATGATAATATCTGAAGTCCTTTATTCATAAGTTGTTATGAAGCTCAAACGAATTAGGGTATAGGGTGTCCCAAAAGTCTTAGTGCAGTTGTATATAAAGTACTCTATAAAATAGGCCTTCTTTCCTGTTCTCCTCTCCTCTCCTCACACTCTATAAAGTGAAGAGTTTGGACAAAATGATCTCTGCAGATGTTCTTCCCTCTTGATTCTATGCTTTTAGAATAAGAGATTTCATCTAATCCCCTTGAGAGTAAACTGAAGTGCAAAGCAGTGATGCATGGGAGGAGCACATGACAGGGTCAGTACAACATTTGCTGAGTATATACTATGAACTGGGTATGCAAAGACTAAAAGAATAGTTCCTGTCCTCAAGCAGTTTACATTCTAAGAAAACAACAACTAAATATTTTTATAGACCTCTATTTCAAATCCTGCCTCTGACACATATTGTCTGTTTCACTCTGTTCGATCTGGTCAATTTCCGATCTAGCCTGTATATAGCTTGTTTGTGCCTAGTTATTTGCATGTTGTCTCCCCTAGTAGACTGTGAGATCCTCAGAGCAGAAACTTTTAACTTTCTTCGTATCCCCAACACTTAGCACTGTGCCTGACATAACAAATGTTTATTGACCGACTGACAACATCTTATTATTCTAGCCAGCTCTTGAAGACAGTAAGTCAAAAGGAGAATACCTACCAGGGGAAGGTTCCCATTTGGGAACTCTCTAGACCAATGAAACTGCTATCCCTATCTTTTGTTTTTATATCATTTCCTAATGCATGCTTATTTTCTCTCTTTCACACAGAAACCTTCCTTATGATAATGAAATAATTAATAGAGGAAAAGTGGCTCAGCAAAACTAACCAACATATTGAAAAAAATTGAAATTATACATCGTGTTCCACACTCATTGTCCCCATACCTCCAAGGAGGTCACGTCCTACCAAAGACATAATGATATCTGTGTGCAGATGAATGAGTACGGATGCAAAGTAAAAGTGATGGAATCAGGAAAGGCCTCTTTTAAGAGATAACACTCGGAATAAGCCTTGAAGAGAGATACCTATGGGGTTCTAAGACATGCTATTTTCTTGTCATAAATTCTCATTTGAAAGATCATCATCAAGACATAAATTACCTTCTAGCAAAAAGAAATTTTAAAAAAGGCCATGGAATGCTAACCCATCTAAACTTTTTCCCTCCTTAGAATTTAGTAATCTTGGATCCACTTACGGTGAGTGATGAGAAAATCCGTCCCTCTCTCGAGAAGCGCTTGGAGGCCATCATCAGTGGGGCAGCCTTGTTGGCTGATTCTTCCTGCACACGGGACTGCCACCGGGAGCGCATTATCACTGAGTGTAACTCCATCCGACAAGCTCTCCAGGACTTGCTTTCAGAATATATGGACAATGTAAGTTCCTGACTTTCTTATGCTATTTCAAGTTTTCTCAGGCTCTCTCTCTCTCTGTCTTTCTCTCCTCCACTATGATGATTATACACGATCCAGTCTGTGTGGTGCCTATTGACGCTTTTTAATCCATTTTACATTGCATAGCTGAAATATTCTGGAGCATTCTGGGTGGTAGTGCTTAGGAGTGGACAAACTGTCCAGTAGGCAAAGTTGTTGGCTTCTTGATGTCAAGCTCTATGGAATGACTGGGTCTTCACTCAGATCTTGAATGCATATTGTGATATGAATGAAAAATGTTTGAGAACATTTGATCTTGAAATTCCACAGGAGGCAAAGATTGAGTGAAATGAAAATTTTATCCCGGGCATGTGTCATCTGCACGATTTGGTGATTATCAGGGTATGGGTTGAGACATATTAGCGAGAAATGATGTGACTTTTCAGGTGTGAAATTATAGATTAGTTCAGCAGATGTGCTTATGCCAGTGGTTGAGATACCCTAATATTAGTTGGTAGTACTTTGAAACCATATATGATATGTGACAGATTCCCATGGTCTTAACACATGATTAGTTTGGGCCTTGATCAGGAGTCTCTTAGCCAATAAAAATAAATAGATAAAGTAGCAAATATATTTCATCCATAGAGAGGACATATTCTGGTTGCCACAGGTATCTTTCTGGTTTTAAAATCAAAAACATTTCTAGTAAAGATGCTCCTTTTTGCTAAAGGTCTGTCAAGGTCATTCATGAACTACATTGAGAAGAAATTTTCATGTTAGTGTATATGTCTAATACACACAAACATTATATACATCTATATGGTGTGTGTGTGTGTGTGTGTGTAGAGAGAGAGAGAGGAGAGAAAGAGAGAGAGAGAGAGAGAGAGTGAGTGACAGAGACAGAGAGATAGATTAGAGGCATCTATGACAGCTTTTTTATGACCTTAGGGCTAAAAGGTATGAATTCAAAGCACATCAATATGTTCTGTTTCATATTTCCATCTGCCTTTGCATTGGCAGAGATGCTACACATGTTGTTAGGTTTCTTGGCTCATTCATAATATCTAGAAAACATCTTTATGTGAATGAAGTATTCCATCTAGGTAGGTTGGATTCAAAACCATGGCCAAGTGTGCACTAGGAAGTGAATGTGGACAAAGGAGGCCTCTGTTTGGAAAAATTCAAATTGAGGTTAAAATGTGGAGATCTTTAGTTCTTAGTTATATAGATTATTACATTGCCATTCCAATTTTACTATTGTAGCCTTCACCTTAAAGAGATTGTTCGACTGTGATTTCTGTGCCATTCCTTTTTAGTTAATTCGTTTCTTAAATTTCACCTCTATCTATGTTTGAGCTTAACTAGGGTAGATCTTGGGTGGATAGAGAGAGGGAGAGAGATTTAAGAAGTATTGCAAAGATAACAAATTGTACCATCATAAATTTTATCTAATCTCTAACCCTTTTGATTTTATAGATGAGGAAATTAACAGTTGGTCAGTGAATGAGAATAATAAGAGTAATAATAATAAGAAACATCATTTAAGATGGCTGTATCTTTTTTGATCTTCATGACAACCCTGTGAGGGAGGTGCTATTATTATCCTTATTTTACAAATGAAGAAACTGAGGCAAACAGAGTTAATTGACTTGCCCAGGGTCACACAGCTAGCAAGTATGAGATGGCATTCAAATTCAGATCTTGATGATTTCAAGTCCAGCACTCTAACTACTAGGTAACCTAATTGCCACTAATAAGATAATTCTGCACTTTTATAGCCAGTCTGGTTTCGATTACCAATAAAAATTATTTTAAAAAATGAATAGCAGTATTATTCATTCTTTTCCTAAAGAGTTATATCATCCCTTGGTTAGTGTATGTTTTAAAATGTTTTGTAGCTGGTGAGTTCTTGATCTTGTCCAGTAGATTTCAAGATACCTGAAGGTAGGGGCTGCTTTGCTTTTGTCTTTGTCTTTTTATCCGTGCCTTGAATACAGGAGGTGCTTCCATTTGTTGGCACTGTCCAGTTGACTTAAAATGTAACTCCCCTCACATGCCTCAGTAAATGGGCCTTTTTGAGTCCCTGGCTCTGGCTCACTCTCCAATCCTTTCTATTTCTTTTCCAGCAGCTTTGAAGAAGCCTTTGCCCTGAGGTCCCCTCCCTTGATTGGTGAATCGCCATTTCGCATGGGCCCTCAGCTCATGATCCATGCACTCTCTGGATTACTCTACCTCCTCAACAATAGCTTTGGCCCTCCTTAGGTGCACTCCCCCCTCTCCCTACTTTCTTTGCTTCCTGCCCTGAATCCAAAATACAAATGTTCCCCAAATTAAAAAAAACCAACAAATTATTTGAGAAGGAAATGAGTTCACAACTAATATGAAACATGATTTTTCATATAATCCTGGTAATCAATTTCATCTGAAAACCTACACTGTCAATCAATCAACAAACTTAAGTGCCCACTATATAGGTGCTGTGTCATACACTAGAGATACAAAAAGAGGCAAAAGATAGTCTGTGATCTCAGGGAGTTCACGATCTCATGGGGGGAGACAACAAATAAATATATTCAAGTAAGCTTTATATGTAGGATAAATAGGAAATAATTAACAGAGTGATATCACTAAAACTAAATGCATTGAGAGAGGCTTGCTGTAGAAGATGGAATTTTAGTTGGGACTTAAAGAAAGCCAGGGAAGCTGGTAGGTAGAGATGAAGAGGGAGAATATTCTAGGCATGGGGACAGCCAGAGAAAGTGCCTGGAGCTGAGAGATGGAGGGTCTTGTTCATGGAAAAGCAAAGAGGCCTGTGCCATTGTGTCACAGAGTAGGTGTTGGGGGGTAAGGTATAGGAAGCCTGGAAAGGTGGGAGGGGGCTAGGTTATGAAGGGCTTTGAAGGCCAAGCACAGCATTTTGTGTTTAATTTTGGAGGCAATAGGAGGCCCTTGGAGTTTTATTGAGTAGAGTGACATGGTGGGACCTGCACTTTAGGAAAATCACTTGAGTGGTTGAATAAATGGTGTGGAGGCAGTGTCAGAGGAGGGCAGGAGACCCATATGAGAGATGTTGCAAAGGTGAAATCAACACACTTTGGCAACAGATTGGATATGGGGAGGTGAGAGATAGTGAAATGACATTCAGACTGGGGGCCTGAGGGCCTAGGAAGAGGGTGTTGCCCTTGACAGTAATAGGGAAGGTCAGAAGGGAGAAGGGTTTAGGGGAAAGATAACGAGTTCTGTTTTGGACATACTGAGTTTCAGATGTCTACTTGATTCCTAGTTTGATATGTTTAAAAGACAGTCAGAAATGCTAGGTAGGAAGTCAGCAGAAAGGTTGAAGCAAGACAGGTAGATTTGAGAATTATTAACAGAGAGGGTAATGAAATCCATTTGATATGATATGACAAAATGAAGTGGTATAGACAGGAGAAGAGAAAAGGGCCCATAACAGAAGCCTACGGGATGTCTTTGGTTTTTAAAGTGTGATTGAAATAAAGACCCATCAAAGGACACTGAGAAGGATTGACCAGGCAGGTGGAGGACCAGGAGAGAGGGATGCTCCAAAAACTTAGAGAGAACAGGTTATCAAGGAAGGGAGCCTGACCAACAGTGTCAAAGGCTGCAGGAAAGTTGAGGAGAGAATGAGGACTAAGGAAAAACAAACACTGGATTTAATGATTAAGAGATGATTAGTAATTTGGGAAAGAGAAGTTTTGGTGGAACGATAAGATTGGTAGTTGGATTGTAAGGGGTTAAAGTGAGAATGAGAGGAGAGAAAGTGAAGGCACATTTTGTAGTTTTTTTTTTCAAGGAGTGTAGCCGCACAAGGCAGAGAGATATAATGTAATAATTAGCTGGGAGGGAAGGATCAATGGGTTTTTTTTCATCATGGGAGAAACATAGGGATGTTTTTAACAATAGGGAATGAGCCAGTAGACAGGGAAAGAGATTGAAAATAGCTGATAGAGTGGGGATGGCAAGAGGAGGCAGGAAGAGACTGATGAGATGGGATCTCTTGAGTAGGTACATGTGTTAATCTTGGTTAGGAGTATGGTCTCTGTCCATGGTAAGCCACAACATCTGTTTCCTAAATTTATGTTAGGATCACTTGTAATGTAGTGCAATGGGTAGAGCAGAACACGGCATCAGACAACAAGAGTTTGAATTGTTTATCTGCCACTTCCTGTCTATGTGACCTTGGGAACATCACAGGATTGCTTTGGGGTTAATTGTTCTCTTCTCTCAATAGAAGTTGGATTGGACAAACTCCTCTCCCAAATCTCATTTACTCTAAGCCTGATTTCTGCCTTCACCATTTGAATGTATTGACCTGGATGACTTCCAAGGTCCCTTGTAATTCTAAGTCTTTACCTCTCTGAGCCTCAGTTTTGTCCTTTGTCAACTGAGAGGGTTGGACTGGATGACTTCTAAGTTCCCCTCCAGTTCTAAGCCTTTCTCTTGGACTCATTTACCTTCTCTGACCAGGGAAGGGACTCCAATCCCTTCTAGATCTAAATTACTGAGCCCAGGCTCTTTTCAATGGCACTCAGCTTCTGCCCACTGTGATTTCTCAACGTCTGACTCACTGAGTGATTGCAGAACTTCTGTGGCACAGTAGCTCTGGCAAATATTCACCGAGACTCTTGTAGTTTCTAACTCTCCCTTCTTCACTGGCAGCTCTTTAGTCTAATAGTTGGGGACCAGAAAAGAAATAGGGGAGGATAACACTGACTAGGCAGCTTGGTGACTACAGCAGCCTGTGCCCAATCAGGGAGCGAAGATGGACTCTTTGTTGCGTGTGTGGCACTGATGGGATGACTGCTATTTCTGATGAGAATCTGATTTCAGTTTAGGGGGAAAAAAAGCTTTCCTAATTTTAGAGTCCCCTTAAAAGTATCGATTGCCCATTTCACCTTGTGGCTGGCTTTTTATAAAACAGAGCAGCTGTGGTAGAAAAAATCAGCTCAGTCTGTTGGGATGATTGCTTTCTTTTGAAA